CCTTTGAAATATCAAATGTGTCAACTTGCCTTATAGTTAAGTTCTTGCCAAGTATATATCTAAATTTATTGTAAGTTTATAAATTTATTTCAACAATTTGAGTATATGAAAATGTGTCTAAATCACAAAAATTCTACTAGGGTGGCGGTGCTATACAAACCTCTTTTCTTTTGTTTAAATTAATTTTTTGTCTTTGATTGATATTATGATCTCTTGTTCTAATTCTTTTATTGGTTTTCTAGTTCTTATAATCATTCTTTGTTTTTGTCATTTCATTTGGGACCCTAATTATTTTTTTGCCGCTTTCCTCGTATCATTACCAACTTGCTATCACTGAACATAACTATATTATTTCGACTAGTATAATCTAAATCTACAACTCTAATCCCCTAAAATCTAATTAGAGAAGTATCAAGTAGGAACGACAACGAGTAAGTTAATACCAATACCCATGAGTACTTGATTCGATGATTAATACAATTAGACGATTGTTAGGTAATATGTTAGGGTTTGATATTGATGAGAAGTTACTAAAAGATAATCCGATAGGTTTAGTAAGAGAATTCTAAAAAATAATACCCAACACAGACACAGACACAGACACACACACATACACATATTGAGGAATTAATACCTCTATAAAATATGTTTATTCTCTTTAGTTTGTATTCAATTGGCACATATGTTTGTCTTGTAGACTATTATTCATCATGCATTTTGCATAACTCTTTGTTGGAAAATGTGGGATAATTATTTGAATCTTCTTTCGGAAGATTGTTAAATTTACCCTTCATAAAATGATGAATTTCTCTATGGCTCTAACCAATTTTAAAATTCAACTTAGTGTGTGAATTTAACATGATGTTTACTGATTTTAGTTTGATGAAAACTAGTTGTTTTTTTTTTAATTATTCAAATTAGCGGGTAGAGGGTACCCAATGATTTCAAAACAAAAACGAGAGAATTTGGTAATAAGAGTTAAAACCCACGGGTTTACCTAATAGGGTTTTGGTAATAGATTTAAACATGCAAATTATGATTTGGTAAGAGGAATTCTTGAGAGTACCTGATCATCTACTATCTAGGGGTGTAATTGAGTTGAGTTGAGCTCGAGTAGTACACTACTTAAGCTCGACTCGAGTTAAAAAACTTAGATTCAAACTCGAACTCGAGCTCATCGAGCTCTTGAAAATTAAGCTCAACCTCAAGCTCGATTTTATTTTGCAATGCTCGAGGTCAAACTCAAACTTATTCTAATTGAGCCCAATCAAGCCTAATCAAGTTTAAGAAATCTAAATTTATATTTTATATAATTTTAAACAAAGGACAACATAGATATTTTATACTAATGAATAAAAAATTAAAAAAAACATATATATGTGAAGCTCGATTGAGTTCGATTAAGCTCGATGAGCTTTCAAGGTTCATATATTAAACTCGAGCTTGACTTGTCAAGTAGCTCAAGCTGCTCGAACTCAAGTTTTAACCGAGCAAGCTCGTGAACTACTCGATTAAACTCGACTCGTTTGCACCTCTAGTTAGAACTATCTATTTGAAGTTACACAGATTGAAAATAGACTTGAAATCTAAGAATTAGAGATGACAATCTATCTCAAGCCCTAATGGGCTACCCATGCTTTAAAGAGACTTTGGGTGGGATGTGTATTCTAATTTTGAAGTTGGGATTGAAATGAGACTAATCCCATTTTATATCCATCAAATGATGGGAACTTTTGGAAAATACTTGGGTACCTATTGGGGTTCAAATATCTCAACAAACATTTAATTCATCCAAAAGCTCCTCTCTCCTAGGGCTGCAAATGAATCGAGCCGCTCGCGAGCAGCTCGAGTCAAGCTCGTGTCGAGCTCAAAATATTAAGCTCGCGAGCTCGAGTATATATATATAATATTTTTTATTTTTTTAATTTTAAATATACATATATATTTAATTTTAAGTATATATATTTTTTTATTTTCTTGTTTTAATAGTAAAATTACATATATATCCTTAATATTTTATTATTTATTAAGAAAAAAATATTATTTTATTTATTTTTTAAAAAATAAAATAATTATTTTTTATTTTTTTCCGAGCTCGAGCTCGAGTTCGACTCGAATTGATTCAAGCTCGAGCTCGAGCTCGAGCTTTAAATTGCCAGCTCGTCGAGCTCGAGCTCGATTCGAGTTTGAGTTTGGTAAAATTTAGTCGAGGCTCGGCTCGGCTCGATTAGCCCAAAACTCGACTCGACTCGACTCGTTTGCAGCTCTACTCTCTCTCAAACGAATAAACTTTGTTGTTGTTACTGAGGATATGGGGAATAAAGTAGGGTCATATGGTTAGAGATTCTTTTGCCCTCAAATCTTGTTCTCTTTTTTTTTTCTATATTACAAGGGAAAATTAAGATAGTAATTCTAAATTGAGTTTTAAATTAGGCCATCTAGTTACTTAGGCAAAATGATTCTAAAAAATTGTTGGCAGTTAAGTGAAATAATTTTAACTTGTTTAGGCTAAAGCATTTAGGTTGATGTGCCTCTGGTGCATATGTGAAAAGTTTTAATGCAACTAAACTTTCGTTCTTGCACCTTATTATTGGGTCACAATAAATTTCACTAGCCATGCTTTTCCACAGGTTCAAGTAGCATAAAAACAAGTCTATACAATAGCATTTCTTTATAATCATAAATACAAGTCTTTTTAAGTTTTTATAAGACTTATTTTTTCCTCAATTAAAATTTAGCAACATTGGAAATCAAAGGTTAAAAAAATATATGCATAGAAAATAAATAAAAGAAAATATGAGGAAAAAAGAATTCAAGAAATTAAATATAAATGCACAATAAGACCAAAAGAAATCTAATAAATCAACAATATTAAAGTTATATAAAAAATAAAAAAGAATTAAAAGAAAAAAAATACATGAAATAGATTTGAGTATTGGACAAGATTAATTTAAACCCATCCCAAAGTGATCTCACTCAAATTAGTTCCAAAACACATGTGGGTAAGGTTGGATCTAAACCCATAGTATTCGGTCTCATCTTAAACCCAAGTAGATCCCGTCCATATTGCTACCTCGACTTAGAATACTCTTAGTCCCTAACATACTTCAAATTTTAGGTAGAAATGTATTATGATTTTTTGCAAATTTTTTCCTAATAGGAAAATGGTAAAATTTAAGAAACAGGGAAGAGGAAAGAGAACTTCAATCCAAGAACTCAAAGTGTCGAGGCCTTAATCAGTAGAAATGTGTTGTGCATTATGATACGTAGCACAATTGATGCTAATGCACTAAAAAACAGCATCTTCCACGGAGCTTATTACCATTATTAATATCTTCATTACTATACCTGGCAATTGGGCGGGTTGGGCGGGTTTTGGACGGATTGATATTGGATTTTCATTTAAATGGATTACACTCAATCCACCCAACTTTAGATTAGGTTAATTTTGGGTTGGGTCATATTGGATTGTCTCAAACCCATGACCCAAATATGACCCAATATATTCAATAATAGATTTTGATACATAAACTCTCTTAAATATATTAAGTCCAGTTTTCTCACCCTTTCAACTTTCTTGCAAGTTGATTCGCATGGACATAAAAGAAATCAAGTTGCTTGCAAATTGCAGTAATTGAATAATACCATTGGGTATTGACACCTATGCCATCTTATCATGATCCTTACAATGATATATATATTTTTTTCTTGGGTGCATGCATGGCTACCAAGGAAATGGGCGGCCTAACTTCTAAATAAAACAATTAGCGCGTTATGTGGATTAGTTAATTAGTGTTTGACGTAGAATAGAGCATCATTTCTATAACTTGTTTATTTTCTCGCAATTATTACAGAAATATTAATTCACAAGTAAAATAATTGTACAATGCATAAGGGTTGCACTAGGTTTAGTTTCTACAAAAGCAATATATTAGATCAACAAAAGTTACTTTTTGAAAAAAATTTAGTTTTAAATTCTTTTGTTTATTTAAAAAATAAAAAACTTAGATGAAAATTAATCTAGAACATTAAAAAAATTAAGTGTGTATGGACGTTAGCTATTGAAAAAAAAAAGTGCATTTCACATATAGGTCTGTAGTGACACACCCTAAAAATGCCGCTATATCTAATACATACACTAGAAAAATAACTAAAAGAAAAAAAGAACACCCAGGACACAACAACACAAATTTAAAATTTACTGCTTCATTTGCGCATAGCACAACAACACAAAACCGTTATTTTATTACTAAGTCACCTGACGAGTGACGACTCGTTATCATAGCACGATCCTCAATTAATACTTCCTCTACCCTATTTTGATAGTTCTAGTTCTTTTTTTACACAGTTTAAGAAAAAATAATTAAGTTTATTGGAAAAACAAATTTGGATTGCTATATCCTTACATTAAATAAAGTTGGCTGTTCATATATCAATATATTTTGGAAAATCTAAATGCATTAAATAAGTAGGTTATATTCAATACTGACAATCTATATTAAATAAGGTAGTTTATAGTAATAACAACTTATATTGAATAAGGATATTTTAGAAAAATTAAAAGAGATATATATTTTTCAATTGAAAAGTAGACTAAAATTTGAAACAGATGAAAAAAGAAAATAAAACTATCAAAGTAGGACGGAGGGAGTATATCTTTAAATTAACCTTTTCAGAGTACTAGCAAACGGTGGTCTCAAGAAATTTGGGTTGGCAGAAGATAGAGGTGATTTAAAAAAGGATGCTATTTTACCCGTTCAAAGTCTAAGGGCTGACTTTCCAAATTGCTGATGCCCGTTAAGCTGTCCAAGTGGAAAATAAAATATCAGTCAAAACGCGCGACATCTGCTCGTTGCCTAAGCTAATCGTGCCTATATAAACCGGTTTTAGTACACAACTCAAAAGTATTCAATAACAGACCTTATTCAGGAAAACATATTTCAAAGCTTCAAATCAATTGATCATCGGAAATCAAAACAAAGGAATAGAAGGTTCAAGAAATGGCAGCAAAATGCAATGTTACAAGTGATCTCAGCCGTGCCGATTTTGGAGGGGACTTCATTTTTGGAAGTGCATCGTCTGCTTACCAGTAAATTAAGATCTTGTTTGATAATTTAATTCAGTTACTAAATTTAATAGGTTCAAATCTTAACATATTCATATTTGTTTGATAACAAAAAAATATATAAAATTTGAATTAATTAAGTGATACTAAATTTCTAAACAAAACTTGCTCCAAAAAATAAGTGATAAGTTGTTCACTTATCACTTACTGCGATATACACCAAAATGTGTCAGATTTAGTATTTAATAATTCAACAATTTAATAGATTCAAATTTCAGATTTTAGATTTCAAGTTCCAGTTTTTAAACTTCAGTTTAAGTCATGTTACTACTTAACTATTTGGGGTAGTATACATTTTTCATGTTTGATATTTCTACTTATTGTAGTCATTGATGGAAGTGAATTCTTTTATATAACTTTAAAAAATTTGAAAATTTCACAGATATGTTTGTAAAATTTAGACCTTGCCCCCTTAAAATTTAGATATTGTTTTATATCCTCTTAAACTAGTTAACATTTTCGCTTATACCTTTGACCAAATTAGCTTGGGTTAATTCCACTTTATCCCCCCAAACTTTGGACGATTACCCACTTCAGTCCCTAAACTTCAAAATGGGACACTTAAATTCCTAAACTTATAAATACCTCTCACTTAAGTCCCTAAACTTATAAAATGGGACACTTAAATCCCTAAACCCTTATAAAATGGGACACTTCGACCACCAACGACATTCAGGATTTGTTAACAATTTTCCTTAAGTGGAAGGTATTTATAAGTTTAGGGATTTAAGTGTCCCATTTTGAAGTTTAGGGACTGAACTAGATAATCATCCAAAGTTTTGGGGGACAAAGTGGAATTAACCCAATTAGCTTTGCCCCTTAAGCTTTTTGCCAAAAATGCATGACAACTATTGTACTTGAAAAAGAAAAGATTATATAAGTCCTAGAAATTTTGGAGATAGTTTCTCAAGTCATGGACTGGTTAAAACATGAATGTTTTCTTGTCACATTTTTCCCTTTTTTGGGTGATAGATGGAAGGTGCTGCAGAAGAAGATGGCTTAGACCCTAGTATATGGGATAAATTTACGGAACAAAGACCTGATAAAGTGGTCGATGGAAGTAATGGAAATGTGGCTATTGATCAATATCATCGTTACAAGGTAAAGTTTTTCAACTTCCAAAGTACCATGATCTATATATGATTGCTCAAATGAGAAACTTATACCAATTAAAGGATGTAGGAATAGTTGAACATTAAATTGGAGTGGAAAAACGGGCACGACCATTTAGTGCTACTAATATTCAAGCTTTTCAATATTGCAGGAAGATGTCCAAATGATGAAGAAAATTGGCTTAGATGCATACCGATTTTCAATCTCCTGGCCCCGAGTACTGCCTGGTAAGCAAGAAGAATTCAATGGTCAAACAAAAGAAAAATGAACATTTGAAATATCTGTTGGGCTCAGAGAGAGCCAAACTCGGGGAGAATTTAACCATGAGTTAGAATGGGAACCACAACCATGGGTTTGACACCACATCCAACCCAAAACCTTAAGGCATTGGGTCTATGGATCATTTCCACATATATGTTCCTCATTCTACTCATCTCTTTCCGATGTGGAATATTGATTCACACTTGATATCCCAACAATCTCCCCTTCAATTGTGAATCTCTTCCATATCAAACCTCTCTCCCTAGCCTACCACTCCTTCAAACCCACTTCAATCTGGAGTGTACGATTCTTGTTTCAAGAGCCCACATGCCCTTGCCTTACTGCAGGTCTGCATGATTTTTTTCCCCGCTCTTATCCAAGCCACGCCTTACCACTCCCACTGGCTTTTTATCCTGGAGTCACTGCCCAGCCGAACCATCGGCTCTGATACCACTTGTTAGGATCCAAATACGGAATAAACAACTATTGAGATATCAAGTGCATAATAATTTAATGACAAATAATCCATAAACATGAAAGATAAACGACACACAATATTTAAGATGATTTGACTTCATGATTGAGCCTACGTCCACGGAGAGAAACCTGTTCTTTATTATGAGAGGAAAACCCTATAAAAGAATACAACTTGAACCCAAACCCAACCCTTATATACCATTTCTCATCTTTCAAGAACCCTCTCTCACACCCCATGTATAAGGCTACATTATGCCCCTTGTGTCTTCTTGTGTGTCTCTTTGTGTATCTTTGTAGTATGCCAATTTACCTATTTATAAAGAGCATTACTGTCAAAAAACTAAATAACAATTGAAAACCAATACTATTTCCTAAACTCATATAGAGTAGAAAATAGTATCTAATTCTAGCTAAATAGGGCTTTACTTGACTAGTATTTCAAGTAACTAAATCCAATTAGGAAACTAGTTACTTCCCACACCAAATAGGAATCTTGACTAAAAGAAATTAAGTCAATTTCCTAACAAATCTCCACCTTGGCGAATATTTCTTTTAGCAAACACAGCAAACCATCCAAAAACTCCATTTGTCTTTTCCCACCAAGTACCTTAGTGCCTAGTTACATACTTGAATCAATACAGTCCTGACACCAAATTGATTCAATCAGCAAATGAACATATGTAGTTACCCCGAGTCCAACCTCCAGTTGACTCGTGAGAAGGTGTCTCAATTCACCATCTCCCTTTGCAGGATTTCTTCTCACCGCCACTTGCAATCTGGGATCCCCTTCTGAGAGCTCTAACCCTAACCATTGAAGCAATCAAGTGGTAAAGTCACCATACTTCTTCCCATCCTCAGGACTGTCTCGCCACATGTGGTTTTCAAGACTCCACCTAAAACGAAAAACTCGTACCTGTCAGAGTCTTCTGGCGCATAGAAATTAGATCTCCTTGTTTCTTTAGGACACGTGCTACACCATCCAAAAAACATAACCAAAATCTAAAATCCACCGGGATGAAGTATCAACCGTTGGAGGTGTGAGAAAGTCTCCACCGATTCACGTCCAAAATCAACATTGAATTTCACCTTTTTCTTGACTCTTGAATCACTTGCCTAGATTCACCGTCAAACATCTCCATACTTTTCGACTTTCATCCTTCACCATCAATGCTTTTTGCCAAACCATTAAAACAAGGATACCACCCATTAAATTGTTCAATTGGTGACAGCTACCAATCCACTTGATCTCAATAGTTAACCAGGATCCAACCTTGAACAACCAAGCTCTTGATCCAACCATTCATTTTATTAGGATCCAAGTGCTTGAGAGCAACCCAATCTCGTAACCAGGCTCTGATACCACTTGTTGGGTTTTGGGAGAGCCAAACTCGGGAAGAATTTAACCATGAGTTAGAATGGGAACCACAACCATAGGTTTGACACCACATCCAACCCAAAACCTTAAGACATTGGGTCTATGGATCATTCCCACTTATATGTTCCTCATTCTACTCATCTCTTTCTGATGTGGGATATTGATTCACACTTGATATCCCAACAATAAAAGAAATATTCGCCAAAGAAATATTAGGCTGAATACAAGATAAATTTAAACATCATGCATATATACAAGATAAATTTAAACAAGCACTTGAATAACAAGCCTCTGATCCAAACTGAAATAATAGGTGGAAGACTAAGTGCTGGTGTGAACAAAGAAGGAATCCAGTACTACAACAATCTTATCGATGAGCTCTTGGCAAATGGTAAACACTACATCTTAGTTCCTTTTTATTTGTTTTTGATGGAAAATCGTTAAAAAGGTCTCACAAGGATGCCTATTTTATAAAGATGGCACAGATTGTGTGGAAGGCATTTCTTATATATTATTTTTTATTCCTCAGAGTACCCCAAAAAAAATGTATGTTTTTTCACGAAAGTCACTGTAAGTTTTGTGACACAAAGAAGTTCGAAAATTTCACTGTATTGGTAATCGAAGCATCCAAACATGCTCTTTGAAACGAACTTTTCAATTTGTCAAACTTATGCCATAGCATAAGTTTTTTTTGGGGGGAGGGGTCAACTTAAATACAAGCAATATGAACACTATTGCAGGTATCAAGTCTTTCGTAACTCTTTTCTATTGGGATGTACCACAAACTTTGGAAGATGAATATGGCTGTTTCCTCTGTCGAAGGATAGTGTAAGTGGTGTAATTCAGTCTTGTACAATTTCATCAATTATTTAATAACATATTGCTTTTGGGGAGGGGGAAAAGGATGGGTTGGATGGTTCAAAGGAAAGGAGCGTAAGTGAGGTCTCTTTGTTCCAACCCTCACATTTACGCTAAAAAAGAAATAACATATTGCTTCATATTAAATACATGAAAAATAAGCTATAATAGAGAGACACAGAGAGAGAAGATTCGTATACCATGTTCTTAGCCATCAGGTGATTAGTATATTACACTAAACTAATGTAAATGGTGCATTGTATGTAGGAGTGGGTATGAAGATATATACTATAGGTCTATTTGGGAGGTAATATCCAAAGTGATCTCCTCAGCACGAAAGCTAAATTTTGATATACAATTCGAAGTACCCAACTGGCAATTTAGCCTACATAATTGTTCCATAGTAAATTCTTTTCTCTAACTTTATATTTACCTTCTTTGGACTAATCATTTCTTTCTAGATATACTTACTCCTCTATTCTCTATCGCCACTTCCCTTGACTCTTTTTTGTTAGGCATGTCGTGTCTTCCACCTCAGCTAATTGTATAGTAAGCCTACCAATGTAAAGTATTTCACTTAGGAAATAGAATTTAAAATGTTGATTAGGGCAGCTTTGAACAATAATATATCTGAAAGGCTAATCCTAGCTACCAATAAGCGGTAAAACCTTCATTTCTGCATTAGATCAAGGAAGCCTAAAATATTCCTACATGTTTACAAATTTTTAGATCTTTTATGTGATTCTATCTGATAAGTCTACTCCATCTAACAGGGATGACTTTCGAGAATTTGTTGAGTTATGTTTTTGGGAATTCAGTGATCGTGTGAAACATTGGATCACAGTGAATGAGCCATGGACTTTTGCCTATAATGGCTACACCACTGGTGGCCATGCACTCAGCAGGGGTGTATCGATAGCCGAACATATCAAAGAAGGCAATACTGGATGCAGATGCAACTGTCTATTTTCAGGAATCCCTCTGGATGGTAATCCTGGCACAGAGCCATACTTGGTAGCACACCATTCGCTACTTGCTCATGCTAAAGCTGTAAAAGTGTACCGCGAATACTTTAAGGTAGGCTATTTAGCTAGATGAAATTCTAAGATTGCAAAATAATTTGACATGTAAGTTACATCTAAAGTCCAAAGAAAAATTCGATATCGATGTTTAGTTGTAATATTTTTGCAGGGTCAAGAAGGAAGATAGGAATAACCCTAGTGTCACAATGGTGGGAGCCTCTTAATGATACTCCACCAGACAAGGAAGCGGTTGAGCGGGCGGCTGATTTTATGTTCGGATGGTATATATATGCCACAATCGTTAGTTTCAATATGCAAGCTATAGCCAAGCGAAGGGAAAAACAAATTTATGATATTATTGATCTAATACAAATCAGTTAGAGCTTTGATATAACATAAAACTTTAGTTGCTTTTGATTATCTAATGCTTCCTTCATATGCAGGTTTATGTCACCAATAACCTATGGTGACTATCCAAAAAGGATGAGGGATATCGTGAAGTCACGTCTTCCAAAATTTTCAAAAGAAGAGAGCCAAAATCTGAAAGGGTCATTTGATTTTCTTGGATTGAATTATTATACTTCTATATATGCTAGTGATGCATCCGGGACCAAAAGTGAACTTTTAAGCTATGTCAATGATCAACAAGTCAAGACTCAAAGTAAGTTCTTGGAATTCTCTAGTCGTTGATCATTTTCTTGCTCGCCCTCTTCTTCTTCTTTTCAAACCTGATTCTTACTTTTGTTTCATTCTGAAAAATTTTACAGCCGTAGGTCTTGATGGCAAAACAGACATCGGCCCTAGGGTAAGAAAAACACTAATTTCCGATGTGTCCAGGCATTGGCTAAAAATATAATAATACAAGCACTTCTAGTTGTAGTGATTTGCCAATCTTTGGTACATTAATATACATTTATATTATTAATGCTCAGCAACTAACCAATTTTATATGATCTAATTCCAGGCTGGTTCTACATGGCTGTACATTTATCCTCTTGGGATTTACAAGCTCTTGCAATATGTAAAAACACATTACAATAGTCCGCTCATTTATATTACTGCAAATGGTAATTAATAGGCGAGTGTTAGCTTCTTCATCATTTTAAAAACAACATGATTACAAGAATTATGAATATTATGCAGAAAATTGACAAAACTTTATTTGCATTGTTTGATAGGTGTCGATGAAATAAATGATCCTGGTCTGTTAGGAAATTGATTTAATTTCTTTTAGTCAAGATTTCTATTTGGTGTGGGAAGTAACTAGTTTCCTAATTGGATTTAGTTACTTGAAATAGTAGTCAAGTAAAGCCTTATTTAGCTAGAATTAGATACTATTTTCTACTCTATATGAGTTTAGGAAATAGTATTGGTTTCCAATTGTTATTTGATTTTTTGGTAGTAATGTTCTCTATAAATAGGTGGATTGACATACTACACAAGAGACACACAAGAAGACACAAGGAGTATTATGTAGCCTTATACATGGTGAGAGAGGGTTCTTGAGAGATGAGAGATAGTATACAAGGGTTGGGTTTGGGTTCAAGTTGTATTCTTGTATAGGGTTTTCCTCTCATAATAAAGAACAGATTTTCTCCGTGGACGTAGGCTCAATGGTGGAGTCGAACTACGTTAAATATTGTGTGTCGTTTATCTTTCATACTTGTGGCCTGTTCCTCATCAAATTGTTATGCACTTGATATCTCAATAGTTGTTTATTCCGCGTTTTGGATCCTAACAAGTGGTATCAGAGCTTGGTTGTGAGACTGGGCTGCTCGAGATTCGTAGTTGGATCCTAATTAACTATTGAAATCAAGTGGATTGGTAGCTGTTACCAATTGAACAATTTAATGAGTGGTATCCTTGTTTCAATGGCTTGGCAAAAAGCATTGATGGTGAAGGATGGGAAGTCAAAAAACATGAAAATACTTGATGGTGAATCTAGGTAGGTGATTCATGGGTCAAGGAAAAAGTGGAGTCCAATTTTGATTTTGGACGTGAATCGGTGGAGACTTTCTCACACTTCCAACGGTTGATACTTCATCTCGGTGGATTTTAGATTTTGATTATGTTCTTTGGGTGGTGTGGCACATGTCCCAAAGAAACAAAAAAATCTAATTTCTATGGGTCAGAAGACTCTGACAGTTACGAGTTTTTTGTTTTCGGTGGAGTCTTGAAAATCACACATGGTAAGACAGTCCTGAGAATGAGAAGAAGTATGGTGATTTTACCACTTGGTTGCCTCAATGGTTAGGGTTAGAGCTCACAGAAGGGGATCTCGGATTGCAAGTGATGGTAAGAAGAAATCCTGTAAAGGGAGATGATGAATTGAGACACCTTCTTACGAGTCAACTGGAGGTTGGACTCGAGGTAACTACACATGTTCATTTGCCGATTGAATCAATTTGGTGTCAGGACTGTATTGATTCGGGTGTGTAGTTAGGCACCAAGGTACTTGGTGGGAAAAGGAAAATGGAGTTTTTGGATGGTTTGCTGTGTTTGCTAAAAGAAATATTCGCCAAGGTGGAGATTTGTTAGGAATTGACTTAATTTCTTTTAGTCAAGATTCCTATTTGGTGTGGGAAGTAACTAATTTCCTAATTGGATTTAGTTACTTGAAGTAGTAGTCAAGTAAAGCCCTATTTAGCTAGAATTAGATACTATTTTCTACTCTATATGAGTTTAGGAAACAGTATTGGTTTCCAATTGTTATTTGATTTTTTGGCAGTAATATTCTCTATAAATAGGTGGGTTGGCATACTACACAAGAGACACACAAGGAGAACAAGGAGTATCATGTAGCCTTATACATGGGGTGTGAGAAAGGGTTCTTGAGAGATGAGAGATGGTATACAAGGGTTGGGCTTGGGGTCAAATTGTATTCTTGTATAGGATTTTTCTCTCATAATAAAGAACAGATTTCTCTCCGTGGACGTAGACTCAATGGTGGAGTAGAATCACGTTAAATATTGTGTATCGTTTATCTTTCATACTTGTGGCTTGTTCCTCATTAAATTGTTATGTACTTGATATTTCAATAGTTGTTTATTCCGTGTTTTGGATCCTAACATGGTCTTACTGTCTCAAGAGCTCGTATTGATAAGACAAAGATCAAATATCATCAAGGTCATCTTGCATGTGTGAAACAAGCTATGGATGTGTAAGTTTCCAAGATGAGGGACTTGGTATTCCAAATTTGGACAAATTTGTGTGCATATTGTAAACTTTGGATTTTTTTTAGTTGCATTTTGCAGAGACAAAGTCGATGTCAAGGGTTACTTGATATGGTCATTACTTGACAACTTTGAATGGTCCGAGGGTTCTACAGCTCGTTTTGGGATTATTCATGTAAACTTCAAAGATAGAAATGCAAGATATCCAAAGGAATCAGGTTTATGGTTCATGAACTTCCTTGCTAAGAGCAATGCTGTCAACCATCCATCTCCGACAAAGACAATTAAAAGAGCACTTGAAAATGGAGGATTAGTTGATCAAGAAAAGCCTAGGAAGAAGATCCTCAAAGCTTGAGCATATATATTATTTTTTCCGGAATTAGTTCAATATTTGTAATGTTTAAATCACAGGTTAAATTAGACTTGTTTTTGAGATAACAGATGTAAGATATGATGGTTTGTAATCCATTTCTACGGTTGTCAATTTACATTTTTTTTAAAAGTGTTACGCTGTCTATTCTAACTTGGTTCCATGTCTTGATTTGAGGTACAATTTCTTTGTTTCTGATTTCGGATCCCCTATATATTCCGGGATTTTTGAAACATACAAGAAAAAAATGAAATGAATTCCCGGAGGAAATGTTTTCTCTCATTTTGTCATTCTAGTTTACAATAAAATGGTTCTTATTTACTTTGACAAATATCCTAGTTGTCAGTTTGCCCTTCACAACGTTTTATTGGTTATACTTTCTTAAGATAATCTTACTACAATTTTTTTTTTCAAAAAGAAACTTTCTATCGATTCATATCACAAAAGCAGCATTTACAATGCAAGGTGGAAAGTCGTCCCACCATGTAACTGTATCCCCCGAAAATAAAGATAACTTAGCCAGTAAGTGGGCTGGAGTATTTCCTGTCCTACATACATGTGCAATCCGACATTATTGGAATTCATCCCCATGTTTTCGAACTTCGTCTACCACATGCCCTACTGAGAGATCCACTTCCCTGCTATTAAGCCTTTGAACCACATTGACCAAGTCACTTTCCAGAATGAATGCACCTATTCCAACTTCCTTTGCCCACTGCAAACCAATACTTACTGCAACCAACTCTGCTAACTCAATAGACAACATCTTGCCAATTCCTTCAGCCATTGCAGCCATGATTTCTCCATTTTCATTTCTGACTATAATACCAATTCCTGCTTTTTCTTCTGACCACGCTGCATCTACATTAATCTTCAATAGATTTCTTGCAGGAGGTTGCCATTTCTTAACCAATTCCTGTCCTGCCCCATTTTCATTTTTCTTTTTCCTTTGATTAAATTCCCGCAGATATGCCCTTACCCAGTCCACTGTCACCTCTGTCTTCATGCAAATTCCCTCAAATAGGAGCTTGTTCCTTGCATGCCAGATCATCCAAAGTGTCATTACAAAACTCTGCATTTCTATTTTATCACCAGATTCAAAAATAATTCCCATGAGTTCCTTCATGCATGATGCTTAATCTCTTGAAAGTCTATGGACAAGTCTGTGAGCTCCCAAATTTGTCTTGAAAATTTGCAGTCAAAGAAAACATAACGATCATGTTCCTGCGGTTCTCCACACCAAGGGCATGATGAATTAAAGCCCTGCATCTTTTTCTTCAAATTCACCCCTGTGGGTAAGATATTCAAGCTCAACCTCCATGCAAAACATTTAACCTTCGGAGGAACATCCATGTTCTATAATGCTTTCCAATATTTCTTTTCCTTCAACTTGGATGATGGTTCCATCTTTCCTCTTCAGTGCTGTAATAGATCCATGATCATCCAATACGCAGATTTTACAGAGAAGCAACCATTCTTGCTATAGTGCCATATTACTTGGTCTTCTGGCCATGAGTCACAAAAGGGGATTGAGCAAATGATCTCAGCTTCATGCACAGGAAAAACATTCCTAATGATCTCCTCTTTCCAACGACAACTGTGATGATCAATTAGCTCTGAAACCAATCTTGCATTCAAGATATTCTTAACAAACAAAGACGGCTTAAAACCATACGGAATAGGCAACTATGGATCCTCCCATATTCTCACCTGATCACCCATGCCAATTCTCCATCTTAGACCCATTTTGGGTATTCCTTTGCTCTCCCATAAGCCTTTCCATATTTCTGATGATCCCACTCGATGAGGAAATTTGAAGTAGGAAAATATTTGTCTTTAAGCACTCTTGCCACCAAAGAATTAGGCAATTGAATAATCCGCCATCCCTGCTTTGCTAAAAGGGCATAATTAAAAACAGTAATGTCCCTGAAACCCATGCCTCCTTCCTTTTTAGATTTACACATCCAATCCCAACTTTTCCAACAAATCTTTTTCTCGTCTCCTTTCTGTCCCCACCAGCATTGTCTGACCATTGTTGTTATTTCTTTGCATAGTCCCTCAGGTAATAAGAACCAAGACATTATGTAAGTTGGGATTGCTTGAGTTACTTCTTTAATCAAAATTTCCTTCCTTGCTTGCGATAAAACTTTCTTTTGTTGGATTGAGTTGTAGTAGTTGGTAGGTAAGGTTGTAAATATCCTATTAGGAGTTAATGTGTATCAATTAAGGATTTGATAGGTGTTAGTAGTTGGTAGTTGGTAGGACTCTAATTACTACTCTTGTGTAATCCTATAAATAGGCACTTGTATATTTGTATATTGATAAGAGAAATACATGAAAAACTTCCCCAATCTCTCTCTCTCTCTCTCTAAAAGCTTCTCTCTTCTTAACATGGTATTAGAGCAGGGGTTCTAGGATCTCTGCTCCAAAGTGTTACTCTGATAATCTTTGAGCAATAACCATGGCCGAATCGTCTGCGGTCATGAAAGGTGAGAAATGATAGACTGATATAGTTCTAGAGGACTTGGCCACCCGAATGATGGAAGTCTTGAATAGATGTCAGAAGCCTTCACCGAGTACTGATTTGTCTACAATTCAGATTGGCATTAAGTTGGACGACACCAACTATGCCTTATGGTCCCAAGTTGTCGAGATGTATATCTCTAGGAAGGACAAGTTGGGATATATCAATAGTGAACTCCCTCAATCCTCACCGACAGATCCGACATACCGACGGTGGTGGATTGAAGATTCTATCATGAAAGGATGGCTGATAAACAATATGGACCAATCTTTGATCGGTACTTTCATCCGTTTTCCTACAGCAAAAGCAGTATGGGATGCTGTTACTACTACATACTTTGATGGGGCCGATACATCCCAGTTGTATGAGTTGAGGCGGAGGGTGACTAGGATAAGCTAGCGGGCCAATTGAGAAGTACTACAATGACCTACAAGGCTTGTGGAGAGAAATATACTTCTGTCGGCCGAATCCAATGGAGTGTGCTACCGATATCGGAAGGTATAACTCTCTCATTCAGGAGGAGAGGATATACACTTTCCTCGATGGGTTAGATGATCGATTGGATCAGATTCGCAGTAATATTCTGCGACTGAAACCTTTTCCGACAGTAGAAGAGGCGTATGCCTATGTTCGATGTGAGGAAAATAGGCAATCGGTGATGCTGACAGGGAGAGATAGTCCAATAGACACTGTCATAGCATCTAAGGGAAAGAAAAAGGAGCCGATCATAGTGCCCTAATCTGCGATGCCAACTGGGAAAGATAGCTATATTCATTGCAGTAGGAAAAGGCACACATAGGATACGTGCTTCAAACTGCATGGATACCCAACTTGGTGGAAAGAGCACAAAGGGCAAAATTGACGGACTGATCGATTAAATATTGCTGATCAGGACGGAAGCTTCGAAAAAGTAGCTGTTGCAGCTGTTGATACAACAACAACAGCTACTGTCCTCAACATTACCCAGGTGCCTTCTACATATTCTGCTGATCAACATCAAGGTATGTGCTACCCCAATCGACGTGATAGTAATTGAATTGTTGATTCAGGTGCCACCGATCATATGACCTATGATCCCAATGATTTCTCATCAGTGACGAAACCATGACAGTCGATGATCTCCAATGCTAATGGTGTTCAGTATCCAGTTACAGGAGCTAGGACTGTTACTTTATCTCCATCTTTGTCTCTATCAAATACCTTATTGATTCCTTCATTGTCAAATAAGTTATTATCAGTGAGTCAAATAATTGCTAATCTACATTGTGTAGCACTAATGTATCCAACCTTTTGTCTTCTTCAAGATATTTTCACAAAGGAGATAACCAGTCATGGTACTAGGAGAAGGGATCTATATTACATTGATGATTTCAGTCTCAATAGAGCCAATCAGATAAAGAGTGCTGATAACACCACAGAGCGAGATATCCGGTTATGGCGTCAGTGACTAGGACATCCTTTTTTTGGGTATATAAAGCACCTATTTCCAAACCTCTTCTCAAATATTAATACTACTGATTTGAAGTGTGAGGCCTGTGTATTAGCCAAGAGTCATAGAGTCCCATACCCTATCAATTTGAATAAGATTGATACTCCTTTTGCTTTAATACATTCTGATATTTGGGGGCCCTCACCGATTACTTCATCTAATGGAGTTCGTTGGTTTGTAACTTTTATAGATGACTGTACTCAAATGACTTGGCTGTATCTGTTGAAACATAAGAATGAAGTACTTGATATGTTCAAATCATTTTGTTCCATGATTCGTACACAGTTTTCAGCTACAGTTAAGATTCTTCGATTTGATAATGGTGGTAAATATGATAATCGGTCACTACAAGAGTTCTTTAATGCCAACCGTCTTATTCATGAAATATCCTGCACTCAAAATCCACAGCAAACTAGAGTAGCAGAGAGGAAGAATCAGCACTTACTTGAAATAGCAAGAGCATTACTAATCGGTGTCAATGTTCCGCGCCGATATTGGCCTGATGCAAGCACAATGGCAGTCCATGTGCTGAATAGATTGCTTTCAAAAGCTATTAAATTTCAAACCCTGCTGCAAGCACTATCTCAGCATTTCACTCTATCATCGATCCTAATGCTTCCACAAGAGTGTTTCGTTGTGTGGCATTTGTTCATCTGCACAAGAATCAACGAAATAATCTTGATTCCTGTGCTGTTTGGTGTGTCTTCATAGGTTATGCAGTGCAAAAAAAGGGCTATCGGTGCTTTGACCCACTCACTAGCAAGATGTATGAGACAATGGATGTCATATTCTTAGAATCAGAAACATTTTTTTCATCGGCATCCAATTCTTCTCTTCAAGGGGAGATAAAGGATATGGAAGAAAAGAATTGGCCAGGATTAGCATGCATGGCCTGCTGATTCTACTACCGATGCTGTTGCTACTGATTCTTCTACTGATAATGATGATGGAAATACTGATGAGCATGATAAA